TTAATATATATAGAAAAGGAAATCTTCGCCAGAGCCAATCAATGGCCAAGAAAAATTAATCAGAGATATGAAATGCAATGCTCCACTCTCACCTAAACCAACACAGTCTCGTATATTTCCAGTTTTAGTACTTAAGTTAAATATACTGTTCAGATGCCTTACCCAATTCACACATTCTACTTTTCACATGTTTAATGTGCATTTATTTTAGTTACATGTAGGGATGAATTGTGACATCATTGACCCTATATGGCCACATGGCGAGATTAGGTCAATGTAATTCACCAAATCTGGGTATATAAGGTCAATTATGTCACCAGCATCCTGCACCCTTGTTCACGTTCAGCTGCATGGTGGGGCATGCCCTGCCCAGAGTTGATTGGGCCGACACCAACATTTGCTTTCTGGGTTTGGACAAACTCAAGTTCAGAAAGAACCCTAAATATTTTTAGTTCCGTGTAATTATTATTTTTTCTCTTATTTATGATTCTTCACTTTGGAGTCTGGCCCTGCCTAGCTTTCTGGAATTCACTGGCTGCCATTAAAGGAGAATTATGAGTGCTTGCAAGTACTGAAACATTTTTGTTTATTGTCATGTGACAGTTTTTCTAAAACAATAGGACAGTGGTGGAGCGCCAGAGCCAGGTCCCAGCTGCAACCGCTGTGACCCTGGTAGTTCTCATGAAAATGCCATTGCGGTGCTGGTATCTGAAAAGTATTGGTGCATCCCTAATAATGATATTATTTACTGTAAGGGAAACTATTATCACGTTGGGACTATTTTTTTGTTTGTTTGAAGCAGTGTTTACACAAAATATTAAACCTTACCATGTATGCAGGTTCCTCTTTTGATGTCTGAGCCTAAAATGTTCAAAAAAATGAAACAACATTCAGTTTTTCTATCACATTAGAGATTGCTTTATCACAAAACCAGCCAAACCAATGGATACAATCTACCCCCCATGTTTGTCTCAACACCGTTAAACAATCTTAATGCTGAACCTTGGGATAAGAAGATGCCATCTAAATACAAGAGTCATGTGATATTCTAATTCTTATTTGAATCTTGGTGAACTTTGTGTATTTATTCCAGATCTGTACAGTAATTCAATTTGACGTTTGGAGCTTCTTGTAATAAAAAACGCTCACTGCTGCTCTCTCTCTCATTGTGCAGAGTGGGACAGTGTTGAGGGGGGGGGGGGGGCGGTTTGAGAGAGTATTGAGAGGGGGCACATTGAGTGGAGAGTATTGAGAGGGGGCACATTGAGTGGAGTGTATTGAGAGGGGGCACATTGAGTGGAGTGTATTGAGAGGGGGCACATTGAGTGGAGTGTATTGAGAGAGGGCACATTGAGTGGAGAGTATTGAGAAAGGACACATTGAGTAGAGAGTATTGAGAGAGGGCACATTGAGTGGAGAGTATTGAGAGGGGGCACATTGAGTAGAGCGTGTTGAGAGAGGACACATTGAGTAGAGCGTGTTGAGAGAGGACACATTGAGTAGAGCGTGTTGAGAGGTGATACATTGAGGGGACAGTATTGAGAGGGGACACATTGAGGGGACAGTATTGCGAGGGGGCACATTGAGGGTAGAGTATTGAGAGGGGACACATTGAGTAGAGCTTGTTGAGAGGGGACACATTGAGGGGACAGTATTGTGAGGGGACACATTGATGGGACATTATTGAGAAGATAGCCAATGCATTTCTCAATCATTTTGTTTGCACTTATTCAACAGATAGGATCCAAAATAAAAAGATATACTCACCGCATCCTCAGTCCCGCCTGGCTGCTTGACTGCT